TTGCTTCTATCCTATGCACTTACCATCTTTGACATATTAACATGATTCTTTTTGTTTATTCCTTCTCCTACTAGAGTGTAAACTCCAGCAGGGGAGGGATTTTTGTCTGTTTGGAGTTGATGTGTCTCCCAAGCACCTGGAAGAATGCTTTATAAATAATAACTCTTCAATAACTATTCGCTGAATGTTGAATAAACCTTCACAAGCAAGGCACTGTTTCCCCAAGTGAATCTGGGGAATGCTAATTCTAAAGGATGCACACTATGTACTCAAAAAATGTCTATGGTCAAATGGTGACAGAAGGAGACTTGCCTTGGGGTGGTGAACACACAGTACAATATACAGGGGATGTATTATAGAATTGTACACCTGAAACCTACATAATTTTATTAACCAATGTCACCCCAATAAATTCAATGAAAAAGTTTAAAAAAAAAGCCTTGTGGTCAACTAAGGTCGATGCCCTTTTCCTAGAGATTGACGATTAGCAGTGCCTGCTAAGTTGCAGAAATGGCACATTAAGAGTATAAAAAAAAGAACCAAAGCAATAGGGGTAAATATGTACCTACTCTGATCCTATAAATCACAGACTGTATATTCAGCATTTATGGCTGCCCAGTATAATATGCTCACTGAAGGCCATGCAGGCTCCAAACAATACGCTGGATCATGAGGACTTAAGTGAGAAAAGAAGAGACAGTCCTGAATCGCATTGGCTGCATTGATTGCCAGGAAACCATCCATCCATTCATTCTAAAATACTGTTGTGCTTGGCACTTTCACTGGGCGAGTGTGCGGAACAGAGAGTGAAGAGTAAGGTAAAAAATACAAAAGCTGAGGGACAATCCAAGTGGCCTCCAATCCTGGAGTAAAGGATTATTGCTATGGACCTCCCGGAAGCTGAAGATGACAGTGTCCTCAGTGACAGTATCCATAGTAGGGTAGGGGTGGAAGGTTGAGGGGGTGCAGGGTAGAGGGGGTGGGAGCCAAGCATCTCAGGATACCAGAGGCTCCAGGGGTACCAGGCTACTGCCTCTCTCTCCTGCAGCCAACCAGAAAATCCTGGCAGCATAAGCAGTTAGGATTTTGCCTATCTCTGTATTCTCCAATATTATCTTCAATCACACTTAATTACATAGGACACTTCTTTGGCAAGATTAACTATGTATTTGGAACACAGCCAAAGAAGCAGGAAGTAAAGAAAAAAAACCCCTCTGAATATCCAAGATAGCATAGCATTTGTTTAAAATCGAAGTATTTCCCTTCTTTAAGAACTCCTTAGGCCCTTAGCTTTCAAAGTCTGGTGATTCTAGAGCAATCTATAGAGTTCCCCAGATCACAGGAGAACAGAAATAGCAGGCAAGACAGTGACAATTGAAATATGAGAGCAAAAGAGGAGACTGAAAACCAGAAAGTAGACACAGTAATTGAGAACGCTTACCTCTTCGGGCATAGTTTAGTGCAAGGACAAACTCTTGATATGTCAATGGACTCCAAGGCATCACTATCGCAGGATGGTCCTTGTTTGCAATAATGCCTGGCTCATCACTAAAAACTCAGTTATGACTACTAACTCCATTTAGGTATTCAGGGATACATTTTAGGAAGATCTACTTCCTAAAAGACCAAAATTAAAAGTAAAATGTTAGCCCTGGCTGGGTGGCCCCGTTGGTTGGAGCATGGTCCCCATACAACAAAAGGTTTTAGGTTGGATCCCCTGTCAGGGTACATATATTAGGTAGCAGGTTTGATCTCTAGTCGGGATCAAACAACAGGAAGCAAGTGATTGATGTTTCTCTCTACCCTCCCCCAACCCCTGCCTTTCTCTATGTTTAAAATCAATAAACATCCCCTCAGATGAGGGTCAAAAAAAAAATAAATAAAATGTTAGTTCCTAAAGAGTAAGCTTTAGCTAGGTAGTTAATATTTTTTGAACAATTACTTTGTGATAGGTTATTTCATATATAACCTTTCCTTCAGTTCTTATATCAGCTCCAAGAGATCATAATCCTTACTCTCACTTTTTAAAGGAGAAAATTGAGAATTGAGGAAGTTAATTGATTTGCTCAGAGTCACAATACCAGTCAGTGAAAGGCTGGTGTTAGCTTTCAGATCCAGTTTTGTTTTGCTCTGAAGGCTGGATCCTTTATATTTTCATTATCTGTCCCTCTTATAGGTTTTAGGCTCCAGTCCTGACCACTCAGAAGTTGTACAAAATCATATTTATAAATATTTTTCTGAGTATTTTTAGCTAATGGAGTTTTGTTAGCAAGCTTTCTTTCTGCATTCAGTTATCAGTGACTCATTTCCACTTTGCATTTCTCATAACTGGTTTCTTTCAGAGGTTGGTATATTATCTTTGATTCTTTTGTCTGTAGACATATCAGCATCTCCTTGATGTATGTACATTGCTAGGCTGCTGAGCTGATTTGTGTTGATTTATCTTGAATGACTAAATGATATGACATTCTTAGAAACACACTATTACTCAGCAATAATAACTACATCTGGTTGATGTTCAGTTATATGTCTTCATTTTCTGAACATGTACAAATATAAAAACAATGTTTAACTCTGATCTCGACCTTAAAAAATGTTACACAGGTAGGTGGCAATATGTGTTCCAAGCAAATGCAGACCCGTTGAGCTAAAGTGTTAAAAAATCTGAGCACTGATTGCAAAATCTATATTCCCTAAGGTCCTGTGGATAATGCTTAAAGAAACTGTTTAAAAAGCAAGAACTGGTACCTAATGTTGGTCAATTTAGACCATTCTGCAGATCAGCTCTCAAATGTTAAGCATGGAGTTTATTGTCCTATGCAGGCAATAATTTCTGCAGTTTTCCTGAAGGTGGACTCCTAGCATAATAAAAAGGTTTCTGGTTAATACAAAGAAAAATGGAATAGCGAAATTTGAATCCTACTTTTGCTGTTTACTAGCTCTATAAGCTAGCAGCAAGTTATCAGAAATTAGTATTCTAACACATAAAAATGGAGAAAATGATGGCACGATAAAAAAAAAGACAACACTTGCCCTTCTAACCTCATAGAGTTGTTGGCATTATCAAAAGGATGCTATAAATGAATATGCTCTGTTAATATACAGTATCAATACATTAATATGTAGCATTACTAAAATGGTAATTCCATTTTTACATGGGTCATTCATTGTTGATGGTTTTAATTTGGTTTTGTAGTGATTATTTTTGGTTGAATCTAGACTGATTGTGTCATTAGAATTTCCTCTTCTTGAGGGGTTCTACCTTTGAAAACTTTGAGGACTGTTATAATTTAGTTTTGCTGTTTGAGTATCTATTTGGGCCTGTTCTGGCATGTGACTGGTGTTGAGTGTTTATCAGTTCATAGTAGCATGCTCCCTTTCTGAAACATGCCAGAAGCTTTTTCAGGCCTTTTTGTCTGGCCTTTAATTTTAAATCAGTCAGCAGGATGAGCACTGGATCTTCTGGATGACTTCACATTCTGAGTATGGTTTTATCTCCCGTAAGGGAGGTTAAAAACCTGACTTTTATATCAAGTCCCATTCTACTGCAGATAGAAAACAGGTGAGACAGAATGCCTCTAGCACCACGCTGCCACCTCATTGTGAACAATAAATTTAATGCCTGTCCACAGCGATGACAGGCCTGTCAGGTATGTGGGTGGGCCTCTTGATAAAGAGAGCAAGGCTTTGTTTTAGAGGAGGCAAAGCATCATAATGACTCGGAGCCCAGGCACTGGAATCAGACAGATGTGTTTTACTGAACTTCCCTAAATAAACCCAAGTTCTTAAGCTCTACAAGCTCCAGTTTCTTATCTGTAGAGATTATAATAACTACCACATGGGTGATTGTCACTGGGATAGGAAACTTTTATAAAGTTATATCTAGCACATAATTATTATTATGATGAATCTTCAGTTGAAAGAGGATGGAAACAGGGATTAAATGGAAAGAAAAGAGAGCCATGTGTTCATGGTGCGGCTTTTATAAATCTTAGAATCATATCCAGTTCTCCAGAAGCCTATTTAAATAATCTACAGTGTAACTTATCTTTCTCTTGATACGGTGTCATCTAATAGTTCTTTTAATATTAATTGCACCACAGTATCAGTAGAACTTTTCTGATGTGGCAGTTTATATCTGTGCTGATTTTTTTTTTAAACAGTGCTTTCAAGCCCCTTCCTGAGACACTTCACTCAAGCTGTTATCTTGCTCAAGATGAGAGGAAAATGGCTTCAATTATGGTCCATTTCTAGACCTGTGTGATATCTAATCAGCCTGTGTAGTATAATTAATTTTCAGGCATATGCCTGTGTGTGTGTGGTGAGATTTTCATCTGGTGGTGTTGGCCCTCTATAAAATCTCCGCGGTGACGAGGAGTGGTGGCAGGGACTGCTTTTGCCCCTCGACAGGAGACAGGGTGAGAAACTCTGGTCTGGCCATTTAAAGTTCAGTGGAATTTGTTGGTGATGAAACTCAAGAAAGAGGGCCAGTCCGGTGCTGGGACGTCGGCTAGCAGCACGGGGCTCTCCTTGGGCTCCAGTCACTGGCATATTAACCCTTTCCAGTAAGGACTGCGAGGGAGAAAGCTCGAAAGGAAAGCGTAGGAATCTTAGCCGGCGACGGAACAGGGAAAGTAAATAGGGTGGGGCAGGGGGTTAGCCGCACTGAAAGGCTCCCGCCTGGGTGCTGTGGGTGGAGGATCGTGACGTTTTGCGGGGAGAAAGGACAGCGAGCTCGGCGCGGGAGGAGAGGCGCGGGAGGAGAGGCGACCTCCCGCTCTCGGGGCCGCGCGCTAGCAGCGCGCCCGCGGGCATCGCTTTTCCACTCCCCGCGGCCCGGGTCCGGGCTAGGCTGGGCGGGCCGGGCGGGGCTCGCGGCCGGGCTCAGCGTCCTGACTTTTCCTGCCTCCACCCTCCTCCCGGGCCGTCCCCGCTGCCAGGCCAATGAGCGCCGAGAGGAGGGAGCGGGAAGCGGCGTGCTCGGCGCGGCCCTCCTACGGCGCCCTAGCCACGGCGCCAACACTAAGTTTGCGCTTCGGGAGTTGGCGTTCGATCGTGTCCCTCGGCCTCACCGCTTGGTCCCCGCGAGCCAGGCGGTCTCTTGCCCCTCGGGCGGCCACCCACGAACACTCGGGCAGGAGGACGCGGAGTAGGGTGGCGCTTGCCGGGGCTGGGGCAGCCGCCTCCCGAAGATGCGGGATGGCAGCCGAGCCGCCGTCCAGCCTCTCCTACCGCACCACGGGCTCCACCTGCCTGCACCCGCTCAGCCAGCTCCTGGGCATCCCGTTGGACCAGGTGAGTACCGCGCGGGGCGCGAGACCCCTTCCCCGGGACCGTGTGGGCGTGGAGTCCATGGGGGTAAGGCTATCTCCCTGTGTCCCTGCCCCACAGAAGATTTTTCAGCTACAAACTAGGCAGGTGAGCACTTTTTTGAGTTTGTTTTTCTCCCGTAAGCGTGAAAAACATTGATGTACCCTGCACAGCAGGTTCGAAAGAACTTAAAAAAGTTCTGGGTTGTCTTGTTTCCTTTTACCAAGTTCTAAAGTCTTCTGATAAATTAGTTGTTTCTTATATCAGTGGAGTCATTATTTTTAATGTAGATGACTCTACATAGAAATTACACTTGGTTAATTGAGAAGCTATAGCCTATAGCTTTTGAGTGACAGACCTGGGTTTAAATTTCATCAGTGAGACTTGACAAATCAGAATGACAGTTATTTTGTACCATATGTGATGTCCATCCGAAAGGGAGGGACACAGGACACTGGTTTCCCCAGAACTCCCGAGCAAGACAGGTTAGTGGGAGCAGAGGGGGCGCTGTTGAAGTTATTTGGACTGTCTTATACCGTCTACTACCATTAAAATTGAAAATGATAATAAGGATCAGCAATTCCTTGTAGGAAATCTTCCTGAGTGTCGAGGCTGTCTTAACTGATTTTCCTGTCTGCTTTAGGGGCTGCAGGCTAGATCCACCATGGATTTAGTTTTGAGTCAACACATGTTGATTTAAATGGAATTGGGTGGGGCTGCTGGAGGAGGGCCCACTGCACGCCTGCCTGTTTTGTTCCATGCTGAGGATTTGGCCAGGTTTCTTTCTCTGCCTTTCACTAGTGATCTTTTTTCTTTCGACAAGAGCACACCTGCCGCCCTTTCCACTCGCATTCTTTCAGCAATGAGGAAGTGAGAGCTGGCCGGTTGCCTTACTCAGATACTATTTATTGATTCACCTTCTACCTGGTTTCCCCTGAAGATCTGATTAAGGACCCTACCCGATCTTACCATTGCTTTCTTATCAGTTGCAAAATCCAGTGAGTTAAGAATTTGGGAGAGGAACCAAATCCTAACTCTGAGCTTTTGTAAATTACTCCTGTGTGTGTAGTGAGGGTGGGAGGGACCTAGGGACCTACAGACCTAGGCAAAGGCAGAAGTAAAAGTGGTCTTTAGTCCCGAAAAGAATATAACCAATAGCTTAATTTCCTTAAGGGGAGTTTGTTTTGTACTTACTTCTCCGCGCTCCCCCCAACCCCCCCAATCAGAATTTATTTTAATTGCATTTTCCGTTTTAAGCTATTCTGCACAATTGCAGAGAGGAATCCAGTGAGGACTTGTGTGTGGAAAGAGGCTGTTGTTACTGGAACCTGGCGAGTTTTGACTGGGAGGTGCCAGTATGATATTATTAAGTGCTTTTTAACTGCATCCACCCCCCATCTCCAAATTTCCTAGGGTTCTGTCAATGAGCTCTGTTTTTAATTTATACAAAAGAATAAAAGGGCCTTAGGGATGTTTAAGGATTTCTGGGATGAATGAAGGCAGAATGTGGGCGGTGGGCAAGAGAGGAGCACCTGTGATCTCTTTGATCTCCCTGCAGCAGGGTCACATCTGAATGGCTCTTGGTGGAAGAAGCACTTGGAGGGCAGTGTCCCAGCTAGCTTATTTTAGACCCAGGGAAAAATCCCAAATCATAAACAGTGTGATTTGAGGATATATGGTGGCTTCAGAGTTTGGAAGCTTGATGCCTTCTTTCCTCACATTTTCAAGGGCTTTCTAAAGCTCTTAAATGTCAGACTCACCTGGGTGTAATTCCTGTTCTGTTAGCAAACGTCCTGTGTGAAGCCATCTCAGAGCCTTGACATCCTCAGGTTTAAAATGGGAGATGGCAATAAGACCTGCGTTTTGGAGTTGAGAAATTTTATATAGATGTAAAATGCCCTGCATGAGGAAGGTCCTTGTATCAGACACGGTCCTGGCAAAAATCAAAATTCAACTCAATGGGTGGCAATGGAGAAAGTTTAACGAATTACTTAGCGAGGGGTGGGCAGCACTAGGGAAACTGACAAAGGATGTTCAGGTAGCAAGACCTGGGAGCTGAACGGGAAAGGGAAGGAAGTCCTGTTGTCACTGCCCAGGGGGAGTTGTACCCAACCCCTGCCGGGACAGCGTCGGGGAGCAGATTGAGAACCTCAGCCCTTCCCCGCCGCCCGCCGCATTCCAGCCTCCCGCCCCAAGCTGGCTGGGTCTGCAGGGCCTCCTCCTGGGCACAGGGTGGGGCAGAGAAAGGGATTGCCTGATCTGGAGGGCAATTCAAGAGCACAGTCCTTGGTAAATATTTGCTTCTGTTGCATTAAAGCGTGACTTTTATGGCCTGCAATATGCTAAAAAAGATGATAAAACATATACCTCAAGTTACCCAAACTGTTCTTTGTGCCACTTGAAGAGACTGAATTTTTTCCCCCAATGAATGCCTTCACATTACACATGTACCTTCCTGATTTCTGCGTTGAATGCACTTCTCAGAACTTTTTTGGCTTTGGGTATCCCTGTGTCAAATTGTTTATTAAACCAAAATACCTGTTGAGCATTGTACTATGTGAGTGGTAACTTCCTTTATTATTATTTTTTCTGTTTCTTCCATTTACCTGTTCTGTTCATTCCTGAGGGAAGCCTGTGTGCACTTGTGACCATACTGAGGAAAAAACATCTGTGGTTTTAGTTTCCAGGGACTTTCGTTAGCCTGACATCCTCTTAAAGAGGTTGAATGTAAGATCATCTTATTTAATTAGAAACAAGTAGAGCACAGCGCTTCAGATAGGGCATGGGAAACGGGTGATGACTTCAGGTCTTCCAGAGGTACCTCCCAAATGAGTGTGCTGAGTTGCATTTCTAAATAGCGAGTCCCTATCTGTCCAGCAGACACGGAGCTCTGGCAATTAATAGGATTATTCCGATGTAAAGCTTCACTTACTCCAGAGAGGTTGGATAAGAACTTTTCTTTCCCACTTAGGGGAATCCAGGAACAGAGGATGAGTGTTTCGTTTCATTTCTTGTTTAAATCATCTTCTCATGTCGCCCTGGCCAGGGAGCTGAGTTGGTTAGTGTCCGTCTCATATGCCAAGGTTGTATACCCCTAGGTGATGGATTTGATCCCCGGGCAGGGCACATACAAGAATGAACCAATGAATGCATAAATAAGTGCAACAAGTCAGTGTTTCCCTCTCTTACTTATTTTAAAATAAATAAAAATTTAAAAAAATTAAAAAACACATCATCTCCTCATATCCTGTCCACTCTGTTTTGGTTGCAGAGGGTGACATGATCTGACTTTAACCAAAGCCTTCTAAGTTTGCAAGATCGACCCAGCTACCAGGATGGAAGAGATACTGACCTTATTGATTTGAGTTGTGCCTGGTTGTATTAGGAGCTGTGAAACCTGAAACTGTTTCCTGGTTTTGAGGAATTTCCACTTTGGTGGGGGAAACCCCGGATGCCAAGGCTATTTTTATTGACTGGTACCCCCAAATTTCGTTTGTATAATGTATCAAGTCAGTGTTAAATTAGGATTTTGGGGGTTTGTTTGTTTACCCCTCCCCCCACTTGCTAAATTAATCAGCAGAAAAAGGGGCATGGGAAAAATAGACCAGGACATAAGAATGCAGGAAATGATACTGAGATTAAAGCAGCAAAGTTTTCAGACTATTAAGGGTAAGCTTGTGTTACAATTTAAAAGGCTGGATAAATGAAGACCAGCTCTGAAAACTTGGCCCTCTCAACTGATGGAGATACCAGCAGGGAGTTGATTGATTATTTCATGCATGGGCTTGGGGTATGTGGCTGTGACCACCAGGTTTCTCTACCTGCCTGGAACGTTTGATCACCTCATTGGTTCCCTTGCACATTCCTGGAAAGCCCAGCCTTCAGCTCTTTTCTTATCTAAGTCTTGCCCTTCCTTAAATGCTCAGCTCACATTCCATAGTCATTATTAAATCAATTAAATATTTATTTAACATTATTAGTGCCAGGTACCTGGCCAGGTTGTAGAGTCCAATGATAAATAAAAAAGTCAAGATCTTTGCTGTCTGCAAGAGCTTATATATCAGTAGAGGAGACAAAGGACCCATGCAAGTCTGTAAAGGTGCTGATAGAAGTTTGTAGATGGAATTCTGGTGAAAGAGAGAAGCCACAGGACACATAGGGTGCCTATGGAACTTACTGTTTACTTTTGATCCGGTTTACATTTGACACTTAGTACATGTGCCCTTATATTGCTAGTTATCTTGCTGGGTTTATATGCTGAATTTCAAACTCTTTAAAGTCTCTTTGAGGTGGAGGTTTTATCCCTTATATTCCAAGGAAACAGTAGTTTCTCAATAAATATTTATCATTAGTAACAATATATGCCAATGTTACTGATATCCATTATCAAACTTTATTATATAGAGCCTTGTTTTTGTTTTTTTTTAAAAAGATTTTATTTATTTTTAGAGAGGGGAAGGGAGGGAGAAACAGAGGGAGAGAAACATTGATGAGGTGCATGAGGGAAACATCAGTTGGTTGTTTCTCGCATGCCCCCAACCAGGGACCTGTCTTGTAACTCAGCCATGTGCCCTGACCGGGAATCGAACTAGAGGCTTTTTGGTTCATAGGCCAGTGCTCAATCCACTGAGCCACACCAGCCATGGTGAGCCTTATTTTTAAAGTGGGTAGTAGATTGGCTTTTGTGGGAGGAAGGGTCCTGCACCTAATTTCTCCCCCTCCCCAAATGACATTGCCTCTAGGCTATACCCTTGAGTTTCTCACTTCAGCTATCCACTCTTCACCCAGGGGTTTCCAGTGTTGCCCATGTGTAGTACCTGGGCCAGCAGCATCAGCCTGGAAACTTGTTAGAAATGTATTGCGTTGACCTAGGAGTTTAGTTTTTTCCCGTACAATGGCTTTAGTAGTGCTTAGCTGTCTTTAATTTCATTTGAAGCAGTTTTGTTAGATTGTATTGTGACAGCTGTCATATATCAGTGTGCATT